GTAATTTACGAATACACAACACAATCAAATACACTTTATACGTGAAGCTACCGTTCATACCGAATTTCAAGTTAGTATAAGGGTGCTTTCACAACAGTAAAGAATTATTAAGTTTTTAATAGCATTCATGTGAAAGCGCGCGTGTATGGATTTATGTATATGTGTGCTGCGGGATAGTTCCTCGTATTTTAGGTGACAGTTTTGAGAGATACAGGATGTCCAGGGGTTCCTGTCCGTAGTTTCCTGTATCTAGGTGGCGGACGTGGAAATCCAGGGTGTCCAGATATTCCGCTTCGTAGTTTTCTGTTTCTAGGTGTCGGATGTGGAAGTTCAGGGTGTCCAGGTTTTCCGCTCCGTAGTTTCCTGCATGTAGGTTTCAAACGTGGAAGTTCAGGGTGTTCAGGTGTTCCGCTCCGTAGTTTCTTATATCTAGGTACTGGATGTGGAAGTCCAGGGAGTCCAGATGTTCCGCTCCGTAGCTTCCTGTGTCCTGTGGCTTCAACAAGCTGGACGCCATTAACGACGCTTATATGCACTGAAGATTACATTTTCTTTAAAAATTTGTATATATCTTTATGCATTTCTAAAAAAAAGGGACTTAAAAATTATATTTATATGACATTAAACATTTTCGACGACGCAATATATTTTTCTGATTAACCACATGATAATGCATTTACATTTTATATCTGTGAAAATATAGATTTCAGTGCTTAGAGCTTCTATGTCCCGTTGAACAACAAAAACTTGTGATATCCCCCAAAAAACACTTACGTGTAAAAAACTACGCCAAGTACAGGAGTGCTGTGTATTCCTCTAATAAAAAGTATTGATATCAGATTATTGAGGCCAAGTACATAAGTCACTACATGTTTGCCTATTAGATGATCTAGCACTGGCCAATCATTTTAATTGTATTTTCAAAATTTCCTGTAACGTTTTCACTACCCTTTTACATTACTACTGCTTCCCGTAGTTGATTATGATTTAATGGTCATTCAATAATTAATAAAACTTTAGGCGATTCCTTATCGAGTACTACTTGGTGGGTTCGTGCATTTCTTGACATAAATTCGCGTTCATTATGCCAGTCATCAAACTCAAAACCAATGTCAACTTTCTATATACAGCTCATTCACAATAACTCGTCAAAAATAATCACGGTAAAAGCTTAATAACAAACATATAGTTTTAGGATACTATTAGTACGTTCAAAGTAAGTACTTTGGAATTTCTGGTACGGACCCGCCAAGTAGTACTCGATAAGGAAT